TCAAATTTTAAGCCAATCCAATTCGTGGTCGCCAAGATATGGATTTGACAAATTTAAAATTTCAAGGGCAACCGATACATTTTACAAAGGGGGCCCACCAAATATAGATCCAAATATCCTTCAATTCTTATAGAAGGAAAGATATGTCATAAAATGGTTAAGTTTCAAATTTGAGCTTGATCTGAGTTTAAATGAATGGGATATGGCTATTATAACTGTGTAAAACTCAATGAACGTATACTATTCAGGTTACTTTTATAAAGTATCCTCAAAATATCAGTGACCAAAGTAGCTAAAAATTTTATGAGAAGAAAATGCAAATAATAAATTATATCCTTCAAATTTCAGCCCGATGTCCAGAAGTACTTGTTCTACGGCATTTTTGGTCAAACCACATGTAAACCATTAATCTTTTTGTGAAAAGACCATAGTCCATATGGTTCAGCAGGCTATGGGAATTGCAGCGAGCCACAAAAACTTTTGGGCAAGTTCACAAAGCAATATTTCTCATATGCAATAATCAAATGGGCTCAAATTTCAGTATGTCATTTATTGTTACGTGAGCTATCAAATGGCATACATATCAAGCGGGTTCTTTAGCTGAATCACAACCAAATCAAGATAAAAATAAGGTGGATCGAAGTCATTGAAAAAGTTGCAGCCCCATGACCTCCGATTATTCTCGAATCAATATCTCGTGATTAGATAAGAATTTTGGACCAAAATTTGACAAGCCTAAAATCAATGTATATAAATTTAAAAGAAAAGGTCGAATTGAGGGAAAAATTGTTAAAGAACTTACTTGGAGATTTTGAAGCTACAATTTCCAAAAATGGAAAGAAATAAAACAGTCATAACTCGGTCGAATGATGATCTCTTATGCCGAAAATCATTCCAAACAATAATATACCGTCAAATGCAAATCAAATAAGGGTGCATTAAAGAGCCATGGAAGAAGCATGGAAAAATCTTGCTAAAAATGAAAAATCAAGATTAAAAAGGGCATAACTTGCCAAATTTAACACCATTTCGCTCAAATTTGTCATAAAATGATCGCGACAAGATTTTTGGCAATTTCACGAAAGAAATTTGGATTTGAAATGATGGAAAAACAATCCAATTTGATGGGTTTTAGTGATGGATAAAGAAGGAAGCTTCCTTAAGGGCAAATCATCGAAAATTTCAAAATTTGGGTATTTTTTTTATCATTTTCAGGGGCAGCTCAAACTGAATTTTGATAATCCACCAAAATTTATCTTCATTTTTAATTTTCCACCTACTTTATTAATGATTATCTACCCATGGTTTCCTACCACTATATAAAGTCACCTACGCCTCATTTTCAAGGGTTAGAAAATTGATATTAAGAACTTAAAAGAGAGTATACTCAATTTCTCAAATTATCCCGAAGCGTCTCCCATACTATCCTATTTACCCTTTACATCTTCTCAAAATCCCCAAAATACCCATCGAAACTCAAAAGAACCTAAAATTCCCAAGAAATTCTCACTTCTAGGCCTAACCCCTAAGAAGTTTAAAATCCAAGAAAGCTCAATTCCCACAAAAGCCTAAATTCCAAACACCAAACTTCATAATCTTTCACTTTTGGCCCTAGCTTCAAACTGAGTGAGGATCAAGAAGGTCTTAAATATATTTTGATTGCTCTAGGAAGCGAGCTTCTTCGGCTGGCTTGAGGGGCCCTCGCCAGGTCCAATACCATCACTCATCCTAAAAAGCAGGGGCATCCCCGATACTCTACAAACTGGAGGTCTAAGAGGGCCGGTTATACCCAACCCAGGAGCGAACGTCCCCATCTGTGCTTGCTTTATTTTAAGCCATAAAAGATTGTAGCGTGTACCTCCGGTAATTGGTTTTTCTCGAGCTATTGAATCATCCAAAGCACCTTTTAAAGCGACACCCCATGTTGGACGTGAAAGAAACCTCTTAATGTCTTCACTCATTTTGAATTTTGAGGGGGTCCTTTTTAGGTTCACCTATATTGAACTGAGAGCTTTTAAGATCTTCACTCATTTTGAACCAAGAGGGGGTACTTTTCAGGTCTTCGCCCATGTTAAACTGAGAAAGAGAACTTTTAAGATTCCCTCATTTTAGAACATGAAGGGTTCTTCAAGTCTTCATCCATGGAACTTTTGAGGTCTTCATTCATTTTGTACTAAGAAAGAGAACTTTTTATGTCTTCACCCATGTTGGACCGAGAAAGAGAGATTTTGAGGTCTTCACTTCGGAATGTGAGAGGGTGCTTTTCAGGTCTTCACCCATATAGGACTGAGAAAAAGAACTTTCAAGGTATCATTTTAGACCGTGAGGAGATTCTTTTAGGTCTTCACCCATGTTCGACCAAAAAAGAGTGTTTAAGGTCTTCACTAATTTTGGACTGTTCAAGTGTACTTTCAAATTCGTCACCAGATTGGACATGGTGGAAGGAATATGAGTCATCCGAGGGGAGCTTTTAGTGTCGTCTCCTATGTTGGGCAAATTCAAGTAGTTTTTTACACGTTCACTAGTTCTGGACAAGGGTGCGACACCATATAATTGGCAAGGGCAGCCCATGTGGGAAGCTTGGCTCATGCTGCAACTAATCGTTAGGGGCATTGCTTCAGGCACATTGGGGAGCTGGGTTGATTTGGGCAGTCTCATATCACAAAATCATTGAGGATTATAAGAGGTGGAATGGGTAGCAAGGGAATCATGGGAATTTTCTTCTCTCGACTGGCTTTCCTAGTCCTTCTAATAGGCGTTGGTGTCAACCTTCTTTTGCTGGGCTGTCAATCTTGCTTGCATAAGCGCCTCTCTTTTCATGGTTTTTTACTTGCTGCGATATTGTAGAGTTGCCATGGCTCATTGGAAATGGGACCCTTGGCAGAAGGGGGTTTTGGAACTCGCTGGTTGTCTTTTCTCTTGGGTACCACAAATATGAGGAAGATAGGAGAATTTGTGATCAGTCAAGTATATGAGGAGTCTCTCCACCCTTCTAACTCACCCTAGGATTTAGGGTGACCCTTGGTGCACGTAAAAAACCGATGGGCAGCGTGTTATAATTTGATCCTCTGCAGGAACCTTGGTAGCATGCAAATGAAGGCCAAGAGAGTGAAGACGAGGCCCTAACTCAGTCGTAGGCATTGGATGTTGGCTAGCATGCTGACGGCAATGATCCAGCAGATCTGTCTTTGGTGAGATGTGGCTCAATTTTGAAGGATCCTGCCCGGCCGCCCTCAAGGTAACCAATGACAAGAATATTTCAAAATTTTTGCCCAGATGGATCTCTCTTGGGATTGTAGTTCTATCTAAGGCTGCTTGGGACTTAACCTATTAACCCTGCCATCTGTCTCCGGGTTGTGCCAATCACCTCTTCTAGTCATCCAACTTAGACGTCTGCCCCATAATGACCTGGCATTAGGTCAATGGCACCCTCCTAGCCAACCTTGCCAAGCCATGGGTGCTTTGCCAGCCTATGCTCCTGCAGACGGATGTATTCCAGCCATCTCTGCCTTTTTATACATCTGACCTCTAAGCAATCTTGTTCCTTGAGCTCTTTGAATCCGAAGCTGACTTCAGGACTTATGGGGCGTTACCAGCCAGGTTTCCACCTTGGTTCTGCTACAGCCTATCCACTAGGATTTTGTTCTTGCTTTCCTCCAATACTGTAATTTGTCTCTCCCACCCTTTGCAAAATGTTGGACTGATCCCCTTGGTCCTTCACCTTCGCTATATTAAACCTTAAATATTCTAGGGGAAGGTCCCCCCATTACTTCCCAGTTAATTTTTTTAACATGGGGCAGCAATTCCTCGGAATGCTTCTTATGTCAATGCGTGTGATGGACTGCCAGCAGCTCAAAACCAGGCAGTCTCGTGCATTAGTAGAGAGGAATACTGCATCGAGGACCAAAAGAAGGCTACCCCGAAAACTCCAATGCTTATGAAAACTACCATTTGAACTTCCTCCTTGGAAGCCAACAGAAACAGGACCTCATTCTCAGAGACCTCCCAACAAGTAACCAAGGAGGAGGTCGTCCATACTGTATTGGCCCATCTCTGTAAGCCTTTAATGTCATCTACTTGTGGGGACCGGAGAATAACTAAAGTTAGCAGGTTCCCAGTGATGCATTTGCTCTCTGACTGTAAATTGGTTCATCCCTATGCAGGCCCTGTAGGTCTCCCCTTTGGTGCTGACTCCTTCCTTGCCACCTCCGGACAGGGCCTCGATATTTGCTGTGGACACCTTATCGAATGCCATGAGAATCCTTCTCAAAATGCCATTATTATATGAATCCAGCTTCAGAGACGTGGCTAGGGTTGCAACCCCCACTGTCAAATCATTGGACAGTTACCCAACCGTCCCTGCTACTGTTTACTTCTCTAACTGTCAGCTACACCTAAATCCTCCACTGCAAATGGCTTTCACTCTTGCCAGAAAATGCTCTGGCATTGACTCACTCTCTGAGGGCTGTTATCAACTGTCATTATACAGGAGATGCTCATCCTAACACATGCACATATACATTCAAAACAATGGCATAAGGTTCAAAGGATCAAAAATTTGTTTGAGTTCACCTTTCTATTCTGGCATTCTTGAATGCCCTTCTCAGCGTAGCTGTCTGCATTCTTCATGATCTCTCTCTCTCTCTTCTCCTCTCTTCTCTCTCTCTCTCTCTCTCTCTCTCTCTCTCTCTCTCTCTCTACTCTCTCTACTCTACTTACTACTACTACTACTACTACTACTA